TATAACATAATAATAATTCTAAGTGAGCTATAGGGCACATCATACACACACATAATGCGCATGTTCAAATAGGAGATCAACCTGATAGGCATTCGCCGGCGTTGGGTAATCTTGAAATAAAGATATTAATATCATTGAAGAGATTATTATCATACGCTCACATAAACACCACATACCAACCATGTGCACCCACCCACCCACCCCCACACACACACGCGAGCGCGCACACACACACATGCTCGCATGCACGCACACACGCACACACACACACACACACACACACCTGGTCCTGGTCCTGGTAAACACTGCCATTACGGTCACGTGTCCCCTTACGGGGCCGACAATATAGAACGACGAGCGGGACCATGTTCGAGAGAGCCATCTCCAGCAGCTATGGCTCTGGCTTATCATCGGAAACGATTCCTCTCACGGCTGCCGCTAGAACTGGTCCATCACTCTCCACAACAGAGCGAACATTCCATGAGCCAACGCTCAGAGTCGTTCCAAGTCGTCGTCTTCGTGCGGTAGTTTGCTCCACTCGCGGGCTTGCAAAGCCTCGCGAAGGACTCCGAGGTGGGGGCGACGAGGAGATTGTCGGCATCGTAACTATCCGACCAAGTCTCCTGTCGGTGAATACCCCACCTCAGGCACTGTTGGCCTGGACGGCTGGGGACACCCCAGGCCGTCCACAATGGCGAGAACAAGCACGGACGGAGGCCAGAAACAAGAGCCCGGAAAAGTACAACCGTCCTCCACCAGAGCAGAGAACACACACATTGTCAAGATGTTCAACTATTTGAAAGATTTTCTTATCGTCGGAAACGATTCCTCTCACGACACACACACACACACACACACACACACACACACACACACACACACACACACATACACACACCACACACACACACACCACACACATATACACACACACACACACACACACACACACACACGTGCACACTCACGCAGACGCGTAATAATACATAATATTTGTGCACAGACTCACTCTCTCACAGTAACGTCCAGAAAACCACCACGCAGAGTCCCTACAGCCGGTCGGTCGCCCAGTCCCAGTGGCTCGAGCGCAGGAATCGGTGGACGCTGCACTTGAAGGACTGCAACCTCTTCTGGTCGGGCTGATCCAGGAGGTGTTGGCGAGGCAACTGGTTCCAGGTGTCCAGCACTCCTTCAGGGTACGACCGGCGGACGTTGTTGCGAGAATTGGCTGGGATATCAGACTGCAGCTGGTAGCGGTGGCCGGCCGCCACCCGCGCCTGCTGCCTGGTGTTGGCAGGATGTTGGTCGTGGTCTGGTACTGCTTGGGAGGGGGGCAGCATTCGGGTTAGCATCTGTGGGCCTGTCAGGTAGTGGATTTTGTAGAGATAGCAGAGAGCAGCCACTTTGCGCCGGAGTTCGAGGCTTGGCAGATATGCGCCTTCGCCGATCAGATGCAGGGCTCTCCGCTGTACAGCATCGAGTTGCGCCAGCACCGTCTGAGAAACACCCATCCAGACTAGCATGCCATGCTCTAAGACTGGGCGAACAAAGCCGTTGTAGACCGTGAGTCGGCAGCCAGGGTCAAGCACTGCTGAGGCTTTCTTCAGGAAGCCCAGTCGCTGTGTGGCGCGCAGGGCTGACTGTCGAATCTGCTGGCAGAATGTCAGTTGACTGTCGAAGGCTATCCCAAGTAGCTTCAGGCACTGGGTTTCAGGAACCATTTCACCTTGGAATGTGACCGGAGGGCAGTCCCAGGGCCGACGGTGGTGGCTGACGTGGAGTAGGTACGACTTGGCGGGCTCGAATGTCACTCGCCAGGTCGCACCCCAGGCAGCAAGGGCATTGACGGCGGTCTGGAGATCATCACAGTCAGCTGCGAGGTTGCCGAGATACCGAATACACTTGTAGAGCGTTGTGTCGTCTGCGTACGTGGCAAGGCTGGTCGATTGGGGAAGGTGGTCCTCAGCGTCGTTAATGTAGATCAAGAAGAGAGTGGGCCCCAGGATGCTTCCTTGAGGCACACCTGCTCGGATGGCGTGTGTGGCTGATGTTTGTCCACCAACTACGGCCCGGATCTGGCGGCTCTCTAGGTAGTTTTTCAACCATGAGAGCAGGTGGCCAGTTAGCCCAAGACATCTGGCCTTGTGAACTACACCGCGGTGCGACACTTTGTCAAATGCGCCGGCCACGTCGACAGCAAGGACTCGGGTCACACCCCCAGCATTGGACGTCCGACTCCACTCATGCTGAAGTGAGAGGAGAAGATCAGTCGTGCCCAGGCCGCGTCGGAACCCGAATTGCCGTCCGGAGAGAACCTGATTGCTTTCCAGGAAGTTAGTGATGCTGCGATTGATGATGGCCTCCATCACCTTAGAGAGTATAGAGAGGAGGGAAATCGGACGGTAGTTCTTCGGGGTAGACTTGGAGCCTTTCTTGAAAATAGGGACAACGTTCGCGATCTTCCAGGATGCAGGTTGCACCCCGTCCCGGAAGCACTGGGTGAATAGCTTTGCCAGAGGGCTGGCGAGTGACTGCGCTGACTTCCTGAGCACTTGCGCCGGAATGCCGTCAGGGCCAGTAGCTTTAGAAGCGTCCAGGTTCTTGAGAGCTCGCTGGACTGTGGCAGGGCGGAAGTGTACGGTCTTCAGCCTATTGCCTGTGCGTTGGCGAATAGGGGGCAGAGGTGTGTCTGGCAGGTCATTGGCACCAAGGTTACATTTCTCCGCAAAGTAGTGACCGAGGCAGTTTGCTTTCTCAATGTTCGTGGCATGTTCTTTGCCAGCAGGGTCGACAAGAATCGGGATGGAGCTATTTCGGGAGGTTCCGATGGACTGCTTGATGGTTGACCACCACTGTTTGTCTCGAAGGCTGCCGGTCTGGAGTCGTGCACGGACTATTGCTAGATGGTGATTCTGGGCATCACGTAGGCAATCAGAAGACCGGTGGACAGCGAGAGTATAGTTAGCTTGACATTGGGGCGAGTCTGGTCGTCTCTTGAGGGACTTCCAGGCACTCTGTTTCGCCTTCACGGCCTTGCTGCAAGCTGGCGTCCACCAAGCGGGATCAGAGGGCCGAGTACAGAGAAGTTGGGATGGGATAAACTGGTTCATTCCAACTAGGATGGCAGAGGTAATATTGGTGCAGCTGCTGTTTGCATCCTCAGACATGAGGGCATCCCAGTCCACACTCCTAAGGTGGTAGTTTAGTCTGTCCCAGTCAGCGCGGCCATATTGCCAGACTGTTCTGGCCGTCTTGGGCTCTCGACATAGTTCTGTCTTGAATTCTGCCAAGATGGTGGCGTGGTCAGATCTACCGATTGGGGGGCCGAGCCGGACCGTCGGGTTGCCCAGGTCACTCATGATGAGGTCGAGGAGGGCATTTCCACGAGTAGGCTCCGTCACATGCTGCTGGAGGTGATGTAGTGCGCAGAGGTCCTCCAGTTTCTCCCCAGCTGGAGTTGTTCTACTGCTGCCCAGCCAGGCAGTGTTGTGCGCATTGAAATCGCCAGCGATGATGAGGTGCTGTGCGTCCACCCGGGCAACGTCAATGGTCTGGTCCAAGTAATCTACCATACTGATATCGTTGCCAGGAAGAGACCCTGGGCGGTAGGCAGCACACAAGACAACTTTGCGGCCAGGTCTTATGCGGATAGAAAGCCATACAACTTCTTGATCAAGGGTTGGAACAGCTTCCAGCTCTTGGAAAGCTAGGTGGGATTTCACCCACACAGCCACGCCTCCACCCTGTGGTGTTCGGTCTCGTCTTACTGGAGGGGAGTACCCAGGAAGAGTCACTTCGGCTTGCGTCATCTTATCCAGGGTCAGCTTGGTTTCTGTGACTACAGCAATATCTGCATCAGATGCCAGAAGGGTGTGCTGAAATTCGCCAAACTTTGAACGGATACCAAAGGCATTCGTAACCAGCAATTTCAACGTCTTACTGGTCATTGCTCAGGAGAGGGTCGGCAGGTGGGAGACTATCAATGTTCTGAGGAGGGGGGTCAGACTTGGTGATGTCATCAGTTTTGGCAGGTGGGCTAGAATTATCATGGCGTGCTCCACTGCTTTCTTTGAAACGCCATTGCCTGGCATAAAGTGGCCGGGGCCAGAAGTTAGCAGCGGTAATTGTAGAAACTGTTGCAGCGTCAACTGTCAGTCTCGCTGAGATTTTGCCCGTTGCTGATTCGTGCATACTGCAATCGTGCACATCCGCAGATGTCCCAACCGCAGCTACTCTGTGTTGCACAAACTCCCTGAGGCGTTCCTCGGTGCATTGGTCGCCTAGGTTGCCAACGTACAGCACAGCTTTCTTCGCCCTGGGAGGCTCTGACGACACCATCTTCCAGCTGTCATCTGCGATCACCTGGAGCACGCACTGCTTCTTCTAGCTTTTGGCCATAAATGGGTCAAACTTTGAGTTTTTTTAGAATTTTTTTCTGCAATCCCCTATGGAATCCTCTTCCAATTATGTTTCTGAAGTTTTTTTGTCCAAAAAGCAAGCCATAACAAGAATAGAATTTCGGCCAGGTTTTGCCCCAACAGCACTGAATTGGGAAAAACCATAAAAATCCAGGCCGTTTGACCCCGCCTGCAAACGTGCATTGTGCGGTTCGAACCCCAGTTCAGGTACCCTTTTTGGACCCTTTTTCAAATTTCAAATTTCGCAGCACTGCACTGTGTACGATGAAATCACGAAAAATCGCCAAATACGGGAGCTCGCCAGAGCCAGAGCCCATCTTTTTATGAATGGACTGTACTTAAATTGTAGGGCGCGTTCAGACCAGGGAGTAGTACAATACCTGGTTCAGACTACCGTGAACCCCGTCAAACCGTGAATACCGATAAACCGTGAAGGACATCGAGTCACACTACGGAACAACTAACGTTACCGTGAAGTTTTCAGCTCTTAGTCCGTGAGCCAAAACTCAAAATCACAAGTGCCGTTGCACTCTCGGATGGACAAATCGCCGCTTGCAGTGTTGGTCAAGGACATCACAAAATGGAGGTTTGCACATTGCAAACCGTAGTTAACATTCACGAAACCAACAAGCCAAAGGCGCCATGGCAACCAGTAAACGAACCCGCAAAAATAACAATAATTAGAATAAGAAACAGAAAAAAAATCAAGTTAGTGTGACAACAAATGCAAGGTTCCCTTTCCGGTGAAAGTGCTGCAACTGAGTGTGTCATTGCTGACCAACAATTTGTTTTCACTTGTTCTAGTCGTTTCCTCTAGCCTCCTCAGTTGCCGAGGAGCATAGTAGTCTTTCCACAGCCGTATTCCTAGGAACGTACTGCCAGTTTCATCATGGCCTTCACTCCTGACCAGCAGCGGTCTCTTGCGGAGATGATTTCGGCTTCGGTCTCGTCGGCGTTGTCGGCCCACTCCGCATCTCGAGGACCGGATAGGGGAGCGTCTGATGGGCCATCAGATCAAGCCGGTATGTTTTTGACTCATGATTCTGCCCGTGCTGAGATGCCGGCCAGTTTAGATTCTGCCCCCGCATTCCCTGCATTCCCTGCATGCGTATGCCATGTAAGTAATGAAGCCATTTCAAAAATTTGCAAGGTCGAGTTTTTTGATCTGGCCCTCCTACTTCCCGCCAAGTACGAGAGGCCCTCCGATGATCAGCCTATCTCTAAGCGGGTCAAATTAGCCGAGGACGGCGATTGCTTGGTGATCTCCGCCTCTCAAGCCTCCAAGAGGCGAATTGATTCTTTAGCTTCGTGGATGGAAGCATGGTCCATCTTCACGATTATAGCTACCTCGAACGACCCGGCCTGCGCTGCTAGCTTGGCAGAACACCAGCTACGCATTGTGCAAGCCGCAGCGAAGTACCGCCTGGCTGCGGTGCTCGAGTACGACATCCGGGTGCGGCAATCGGTGGCTCGGGCACGCACCCCCCTTTCATCACTTGACACGGCGCTGTACACTGAATGTTTCACGGGCCAGGCACTTCCCACGTGTTCCAAGTGCCGGAAGGTGGGCCACCTGGCCAACAATTGTCTTTTTCGCGGCTCCGACAGCCGGACGCTGCATGCCACCTCGGGCGCAACAAGCGGAGGAAGTGTCCACACGCCCGGGCAGTCCACCATCTGCCGCAAGTTTAATGCGGGCAACTGCTCCTTTAATCAATGCCGCTTTAAGCACTGCTGCTCCTTCTGCTCTGGCACCCACCCGGCCAAGGAATGCCCAGCCCGCAAGTAGCTCCATGAGTACTCCTTCCTCCTGTCTTCCTTTATCTGCACATAAACCCCACACGCCCATCATTATTAGCGCACTTAAAATAGAATTAGAATCACACCCCGATGACCAGTTGGTCGCTTCCTTATTGCATGATCTTGAATTTGGTGTTCGCATTGGTTTTGGCAACTGTCTGTCTGAGTCTTTTTTGTCACGTAATTTGTCCTCCGCTGCTGACAATGCAGAAGTAGTCGATGACTATCTCCGCCAGGAATGTGAGCGCGGGCATACGGCTGGCCCGTTTGAGGAGCCTCCTGTTCTCCCCATTCACACCTCTGGCATTGGAGTTGTACCTAAGAAGTCGGGTGGCGTCCGCCTAATCATGCACCTCTCCGCTCCTGCTGGCAGGAGCATAAATGATGGCATCAAGAACTCAGACTTCTCCTTCCAAATGATCTCGGTGGATACGGTGGCCGATCATGTCATGCGCACTGGGAAGGGGGCATTGCTATGCAAAGTGGACATCAAGCATGCATTCCGGCTCTGTCCCGTTCATCCCAACGACTGGCCTCTACTCGGAATATGTTGGCGGGGGAAGTTTTATGTCGACAAAGTGCTGCCTTTCGGCCTGCGCTCCGCACCAGCTTTATTCAACCGCCTAGCCGAAGCACTGGCCTGGCTACTTCGCCACAACTACGGTTTGAAGTGTCTGGAACACTACCTTGACGATTTCATCAACGTCTCACCACCAGCGCCGGTGGTCGCCACATCAACAGCAGCGGTGCACATGGCCACCATCCTGGAGGTTTTCGCCAACCTCGGGGTTCCCATCGCGGAAGGAGCAGACAAGGTTGTCGGTCCGGCCACGGTCATGACAGTGCTCGGCATTGAGCTGGATACTCAGGCTCTGGAAATGCGGCTGCCGGCCGACAAGCTTCTCGAGATCAAAGCGCGGCTCAACGAGTGGGCGGTCAGCCCATCGTGCACGAAACGTCAACTGTTGTCACTAATTGGCCTCCTCTCATTTGCGTCCAAAGTGGTTGCGGCCGGCCGCACCTTCACCCGTCGTCTCATCCATACCAGCACCACCGTGACAGGCTTAGATGAAGAAGTGCACCTGGACGCCGATGCTCAAGCAGACATCCGTTGGTGGAAGGAGTTCCTCCCACACTGGAACGGCCGAGCGCTTCTGCGTGACCCAGTATGGTCGAAGCCCCCAGACTTTGAGCTCTATACCGATGCTTCCGGCCTGGGATTTGGAGGTTTCTTTCAGAGTGCCTGGTTTTGCCAAGAATGGGGCCCGGAGCACCAGCACGGCCCTTTCTCCTCTATCATGTGGCGGGAGATGTATCCCATTGCTGTGGCCGCGCAATTGTGGGGCCCGCAGTGGCAGACGAAGAAGATCCTCCTCCATTGCGACAATCAAGCTGTCGCCACAGCATGGGAATCCGGCTCATGCCGGAATCTGGAGGTCATGAACCTCATACGGACCACCCTGCGTATTGCGGCACGCTACAACTTCATCCTGTTGATCCGTCACATCTCAGGTATCGACAACAGTATTGCGGACGCCCTCTCCCGTCTACAGCTCAGTCGCTTCCGCTCGCTAGCTCCGTCTGCCAATCCGGACCCAGTTCCACTGCCAACTTAGATCGTCTAATGATGTCTCACAATATATTCACAGCCCCTTGGGGTGTCCGTTTTGCTGTGTCTGGCCTTCGCCGTCACTACACTGACTTATTGTTATTTTTTTTCTGCCATACCAACTACACCGAAACCAATTTCTCAGTTCAATCTCTCCCTTACTATTTGCCCACCCTTTAGCACGGGCGGCTCTCCTCCCTACACTGCCCCCCCCCCCCCCCCCCCCCCCCCCCCGCTTCGCTGCTCTCTTTTGGAAGGAAGTGGCTATGCAGTGCTCATATAGTGCAATCCTGCAAAAACCAAAAATTGGCTCTCAACGGTCATAGGCGTTTTGGCATCGTGGTATAGCTATGCCCCTATGTCAGGGTATTAAGTTGAGTACTGGGATGCTCATTGCACTCAGACTGGCACCGGGATGCCTATGCGAGCGATAATTATGTGGGCCGGCATCAAGATGGCCTTAGCGTGGATGCGTACACGTTACACCCTGGGCTTGATGCGAGGCTAAGTGATGCATTCTTAACTGTTTACGGCAATTCACATTTAATTGCGCGGAACTAAAACAAGCAGTATGGGGCCAAGTTGCCCACAGCCATAAGCGAGCACCGGGATGCTTTAACACCCAGACGGGCACCGGGTTGCGCGTAACAATACTAAGGAGAGCACCGGGATGCATATGTGAGCGGGTTGCGTTGTAAGGGGCACCGGGATGCCTATAATTGTTAGTCAAGCGGGCACCGGGATGCCCATATGAATTAAGCGGTAAGCGAGCACCGGGATGCTTATCACACCTGGACGGACACCGGGTTACACGTAATAATAAGTCCGGCACCGGGATGCCCAAGAGGATGGGCAGGTAGCGAAAGGGATACCTAAAATGCCCATATTTAGTATAGCTGGCACCAAGATGCTCTAAATACGCAAACTGGCGACGGACGCTGATGATTGTGAGGCGAGCACCGGGATGCTCAAATGCGTCCAAACCGGCGCATTAATACCGGGATGCTTCGGTAAATAAATACGTATTGCAAGCAGCCAGTTAGTTTGCCTTCAAAGTCATTGTAGCTGGGCACAGCGATGCGATGGTCTGTCATGTTTTGCTCTTCGTACTGGCTTAACTGCTTGCTTATTTTATTATCCACTGCGTTTGGTGCTGCTGCCGTGTCCCCACATTGCAGATGGGTGGGTTCGATATCATTCACCTCCAGCCACCACCAGGAGGGAGATACTCGACGCTCAAGCCAGCAGGCTCCTGGCCCAATCGGTGGCGCCCCGGACACGCCAGACCTACAGCCCTGGAGTCAGGTCCTACATTCAGTTTGCGCAGCAGCTCCGCTTCAGCCATCTGGCACCGACGGTCAATGATATAGTTCTCTTCATGACGTCACTGTCCGCGTCACTGTCTGGGAAGACAATCAGGGTATACCTAGCAGCCGTCCGCCACCACTTTGTATTGAATGATGGTCCGGTGGATCTGCTCAGAGCACCCAGGATACTGGCCTTGCTGAAGGGCATCGACCGTGACAAGCTGACGTCCAGGCCAATGCCTGTGCCTCCGTCATCCAGACGTGCGGTGACACCCAACGACCTCAAGGCTATCCGCGAATTCCTGGAGTTCTCGCATTATGCACCGCAAGACAAGGCCATGCTCTGGGCAGCAGTACTCACAGCTTTCCACGGGCTCATGCGTGTGAGCGAGTACACGGCGCCATCACCAACAACGGTGGATGCTCACAGGACTCTTCAGAGGAGCCATGTCGCCCTCTCAGAGGAGAAGGTCACGATCACCCTAGGGGTAACGAAGACGGCACAGTCGGGCGCTGGGGGCACAGTGTTACTGCATGCAAGCAGGTATCCCGCAACCTGCCCTGTGCGTTCAGTCGCTGCCTACATAAGTGCCAGGGAGTGGGCGGATACAGGTGCCCCATTCTTCGCCTTCCGCGAGGGGCGCTACCTAACCCCGGGCGACGTGAACGCCATTCTCAAGAGGGCTCTCGGCCCAGGCGTTTCAAGCCATTCTCTGCGGATCGGTGGTGCTACGGCCATGGCCGAACGACAGGCCCCGGAGTGGCAAATTCAAGCGGCAGGGCGCTGGTCAAGCTCTGCGTACAAGGCGTACGTCCGTGTCCCGTCGGGCATGCCAGCTTATCAGCAGACAGAGCTAGCGTAGAGAGCAGTTCGAAGCTTCACGGGGTTCATGTGCCTAAGTTGCATTCAAGTCACGGCCCTGCGTCCGCGGCCACCCACTCCCTTTCTTGGAGGCATGTGGGGTTGGCGGTCAATCGCCTGCCCGCAGCTTCGGGCAAACACATGACACCGGGTTGTCATCGCAAAATGCCCCCAAAGGTGGCCGGGCACCGGGTTGCCCAGGGTGACCGCGGCCCACGACTTCAAAATGTTTCTCACCTTATCACTATTCCCTTGTTCCCTGATCATTGCCTTGGAACAGTATCACTTTGCTCTCAGATGTTTCAAAATTTGATTCTAATGATTAATAAATTTCGGGCACATGAAACCCCTCCAAAAAATACCAACCGTGATCCGTTGTTGTGTGGAGTGAATGTTGAAATGGAGGTTTGCACATTGCAAACCGTAGTTAACATTCACGAAACCAACAAGCCAAAGGCGCCATGGCAACCAGTAAACGAACCCGCAAAAATAACAATAATTAGAATAAGAAACAGAAAAAAAATCAAGTTAGTGTGACAACAAATGCAAGGTTCCCTTTCCGGTGAAAGTGCTGCAACTGAGTGTGTCATTGCTGACCAACAATTTGTTTTCCCCACCCTCCACTCCCACTGTACAAGTATTACTGGTACACATGGAGGCATGTGGGGTTGGCGGTCAATCGCCTGCCCGCAGCTTCGGGCAAACACATGACACCGGGTTGTCATCGCAAAATGCCCCCAGAGGTGGCCGGGCACCGGGTTGCCCAGGGTGACCGCGGCCCACGACTTCAAAATGTTTCTCACCTTATCACTATTCCCTTGTTCCCTGATCATTGCCTTGGAACAGTATCACTTTGCTCTCAGATGTTTCAAAATTTGATTCGAATGATTAATAAATTTCGGGCACATGAAACCCCTCCAAAAAATACCAACCGCGATCCGTTGTTGTGTGGAGTGAATGTTGAAGGATACGTTTTCGCTTGTTGGACGTTCCAGAACCGATCCAGAGACCTTCGCGAGGGCTTCTTTTCTCGACCAAATTCCACCGTGAGAACAAATATTTTTACGCGAGTGTGAGGTGTGCGTCGTATGAGCAAGCGCAAAACACGAGTTCGCGTGGAGTGAGGAAAAATAATTTATTTTTTAGAAGATGACGACTTTGACGACAATATCGACTTGGGATATTGTGATCACTTTATTGAAGTTTATTCCTTTCGTGTACATTGATGTTGTTTTGACAACAATGGAAGAAGAGGAAGACGTTTCTAGTGGCAGCGAGGTGCTGGATGAGGCAGCTAACGGCAACGAAGTGGCAAATGACAGCCCAGCGGAGTAATATTGCTGGAATTTTGTGTCTGTGTCACAGCGCCCAATTTAGTAAAAACGAGAAGCCTGCAGTGAGTAATATCGAGACTACAAGTTGGTGTCGCATCGTCAGCGCTGCTGGAGAGAAGGACGACCATATCTGGGCTTTTCTCTGCCAGCACAAGAGCTCAGGGAGGAGTAAATGGTGTGGCTAGTATCATGAAAAGTGCTACACCAATTGCACCCATGTGATAGCAATTGCAAACCTGGAGAAGACCAGTGCCTCTGATTTTGCTTTGTCTATACTTGCTGACAGTGATGTGCATGTAGTAGTGAACCCAGAGCCACATCCTAAGGCCAGTAAGGGGCCACCTACCAGGAGCTTAGTGGTTGATACGAACAACGAATGCCATACCGGTAATTATGAAAGCAGAGCACGGTGTAAACACAACACGGAGAACTGGTCCACCCAGAGTTTCCGGAAGGGAATGTTTTGTTGCAGGCAGCACTGGAGAGGGCAAGACGACAAGTAGCGAGGGCGAAACCAGCGCTGCTGGAGGTCCAAGCCAGAGCACCTGGCTGCTTTGCGGGCAACATACTACTGTATACCATTAGCTGTGTGTGCGCACGAGTTTGTGTGCACATTTCTGGGTGTGCGTGTGTTTGTGTGTGTGTGCGCGCGCGTGCATGTGTGTGCGAGCGTGCATGTGTGTGCGCGCGCGCGTGCATGTGTGTGCGAGCGTGCATGTGTGTGTGCGCGCGCGCGCGTGCATGTGCGTGCTAGGCGTTTTCCTTTGTTGGTGACACCACCCCAGGCTACTACTGGTGTTGGGGCACGGTGTTGCCACAGCCACTGCGGTCAGTGAGATCCGTGTTTCAGGTCGTTGGTGGGTTTTAGATTCCGCAATTGTCGACAAGGTGTGCGCCGTGTGTGTGTGTGTGTGTGTGTGTGTGTGTGTGTGTGTGTGTGTGTGTGTGTGTGTGTGTGTGTGTGTGTGTGAAACCCGACAGCATTGGTGTGATGTTGTCTGAAGAGACATCCATCACTTACATCTTGAAGGACATTGGTTCGACACTGCACAGCAGCGAGGAGAGTGGCGCACAGCATTCAGAATTGCTTCACCACCACAGCCGGCCTCCCGTGATCGGATTCAGTGTAGTATTTGTAACATTTCCTTTTCGAAGAGCGGCCTGCCATGCCACAAGTGTACTCAAGAGCGTCGCAAACCTGTAGCAGACCAGTCTGGCAGCAGCCAATGCACCGTATGTCTTCGCTGGTTTCACAGTCATGGCAGACTGACATAGTCGGATTCGGCAGCTGGTTCATGTGTGTGTGTGCGCACGCACGCGTGCCTGGGAGACTGCATAGTCGCATTCGGCAGCTGGTTCATGTGTGTGTGCGCGCACACACGCGTGCGCATAAGCGTGTTTGTGCGCGCGTGCCTGGGAGACTGCATAGTCGGATTCGGCAGCTGGTTCATGTGTGTGTGTGTGCGCACGCGCGTGTTTGTGTGGATTCGGCAGCTGGTTCATGTGTGTGTGTGTGTGTGTGTGTGTGTGTGTGTGTGTGTGTGTGTGTGTGTGTGCGCGCGAGCGTGCATGCCTGGGAGACTGTATAGTTGGATTCGGCAGCTGGTTCGTGTGTGTGCGCGTGCCTGGGAGACTGCATAGTCGGATTCTTCAGCTGCTTCATGTGTGTGTGTGTGTGTGTGTGTGTGTGTGTGTGCGCACGCATGTGGGTGTGGGTGCGCGCGCATGCATGCATGTATGTATGTGACATCATCTTATATCGGTAGTTATCTGTGGATTACTATGTTCTGCGGTGGACTGCGACAGCACACATTATGTGCCAAGATGTGCACCTGGTGATTTGCAACTGTGTTATGTTGAGTTGAAAATGAGCAATGACAGATAGCTTTTGGTGCTGTATGAGTGTGTTAGGAAATCAATAGCCAATTCCAACCTCTTGCATTGGCCGTCAGGTTGGATAGGATCAGCGCGTGCATTTACAACAGTGGTGACGTACTTCATATTGTACTACTGTAATGTCACATTAGCTTCAGTGTTCATATCATTATAATACTGGAGTATTCTACGTATTCACTACTATTCAGTAATCGACTGGTTATTACTTTTGAAATATACTTCACTCACCAATTCATTGCTCGCTATTATCTACAAGTTCCAGTCCAGTATGATGAAGTCAAGAGGCGATTTATCCAGCCAAGTAGAGGAACTTGGGATACGAAATCCAAGAGAAATCATGAGGGTTTTCTCAGTTCGGCCATTCACGAATGTAATTGTTATTCTTCAACGCAAACTGAGTACGATATTTGACCTTGAACAGGATGAAAAGAAGTTCATGCTCGGGGCAGTCGTCATTTGCTCCAGAAGGTTACTCACTACAGGCTACTACGCCTATTGAGTATTGGCCTAGGAAGTGGTGAACAAATATGTCGAGAGATATTTAGGACATTCTTGGAAGTCAGTTCTGAACGATTGCATTGTGACTACAAACAGTAGTGACTTTCAGGGCTAGTACTTGTACAGAAACACGTGGGCGCCATCTTGGTTCACGTGACATGTGTCACACCATGCTGTGTACAGGGAATCTTGCCGTACAGTCCGTGCGCCAAGGGGTACTCAAGGCCTGATTTTATTTGCAACCGCGGGAAACGAAGTCACCAAGACGCCTTCATTTGAGGCTTTTGGAATTGGAGAATTTATTGAATTTAGGTATGGCTCTCGTCCCTTCTAGAGAACTAACCAAGACCCTGTGGGGGCAGAAGGAGACTTCTTTGGCTCCGTGAATACACTAGCTATGCGGTGGTCTAGTTAGTTTGAGTGTGTGGTTCGTATTCAAAGTGTTCCAAGCCGCAGTTCACTCGAAGGTCATCGTGGATACGTCTGCACTTGAAAATCAAGGCTGGAAAGGACTGCCTGGTGTGTCCGAACGGTATGTTTTGCACTGAAGGCATTTTTTGTATGAATTGTTGAAAGTGTCTACTTGTTCGAAATGCAAAAGAGATGGTCGTAGATCCTTGGCCCACAACACCCCACTAAATAAACTATGACCTGTCGTGAAATTATGTGAAATTGATCAACACAATCATCCACAAATTATCCTATGCCAAAGTACTGCAAATGCAAATAATGGCATCCCTTTACCTAGGTCATGTTTGTAGGGCCTTATGCCACATCTTTGCATGATTTCCCCATGCAAATCGTGTGCCTAGCTTCGAAAACACATTGCGCTAAGGGCCGAATATATACCTGTGAATCAGAACAACAGCACTCACTATTGCTTTCATGAGTGGTAATGGTCAGCTGAAAGGAAACTTCTATCCATCAACTCATAAGTAAAGTAATGACTAATCTCCTTGCAGCGCATGTGGTTCCTTCGTATTTACATGTACCGTAAAGTACCGCCAGAGCGCCCCACCATCTCGTCCTTTCGGGGTCGTATTGTGGAGGTGGTCTCCTGTCTGTAGGTTATACGGCACGAACTTTGTACTTCAGTACACATATTGCACGTTCTGCAGACAATCCGTACCTTGGAGCGGACACGAGCTTCACACAAAACCTGCTTAGTGTGACCTTAGTACACTAAGTTGCTCATGCCGTACGAACTTCGTTGCACTCTGCCATACGATTTTCCTTTCCCTGGCTGTAAAATCTGTCGCGGCAAAATCAAGGTGGGGCGCTCTCGCGGTACTTTACAGTATGTGCACCTCTCTGTGTTCGGTGAATGATTTTGAATATTTGCGCACGACTTCAGGATAGTGCACATTGTGTGGATGTACCTGCGTATGTAATCCTTTCATGATTTAAAATTAGGAGTCGTGCTTCTCATCACCGTGGACAAGTAAATGTCGGCCAATTACGTAGCGTTTGGAGACTTGCACAAATACAGTTGCGTGTCAATTTTGCGACAACCGCGGAATAAAATGAATATTCTGGACGACTGAAGCTACAAAGCCATCTTGTGTTAACAGATCAAAAAGACAGTACTTCGAAGTACCTGTATTTATCACTAGTATTACCCTGAGACAGTCGTGCTCATCTCTAGAGACTGGCTTGTATTTAACTCTACATAATGGCAACTTTAATGATGCTGACTGTCTACATTTACTTGAAGTAGGACTATAAATACTAAATATAAGGTCTATAAGCTGTCAGTGCGGTGCTGTTGGATACCCGACATGCCATGTGACTGACCGCCAGATACTAGTAAACGACATGCGATTGTACCGGTCACAGTGTAGCTGGGTTTTCACGAAACAATGAAACTTATACGATTGTGAGAAAAGTTCAGAAACCACACTTACACATACACACACACACACACACACACACGCACACACACACACACACACACACACACACACACACACACACACACCTGTCCTGTTCTGTTGAGCCACTACCACAACTTGGCACAAGGATCGCATCGGCCCCAAAGGGGCAGTAGAGCGAAAGTGAGAGGTGTTGGCTTCGAGCTCACCTATCTCTACGGTGAACGCAACCTCAATCGAAAGTCATGCCAAACGGATTTATCTACCACGCGCGTGCGCGTATACAAAACGGAGGAAGGATTACTTACTCTCCCTGTATGATGTATCT